AATTTTGCTGGGTCCCAGGCCATGTAGGTATAAGAGGAAATGAAGAAGCTGATGCAGCTGCAAAGTCAGCTAGTCCTTCACAGCATACAATGTGTATTGAAGGAGGCGATTTGAAGCTAGTCATTAAGAAACGACTAGTGGCAAGATGGCAAAATATGTGGAATGCACAAATCCACAATAAACTACATGAGATCAAACCTATGATAGAAAATTGGACACATAAGAAACCTTACGACAGGAGATCTGAGGTTATTTTTACTCGTCTGAGGATTGGACATACTCGGTTGACTCATCAATACCTTTTGAAGGGTGAAGAGCAACCAGTATGCCAGTATTGCAACTGCTTACTAAGTGTTAAACACATACTGCTCAACTGCTCTGCCTTTGAGATCAGTCGTAGACAGCATTTTGGAAATGCAACTTTCAAAGATATTCTGGGCCAGAGACCAAATCATTATAATGTATTGGACTTTTTAAAAGTCATTAATTTGTATAAAGAAATTTAATTAATCAATTATTTATTTATATATTTATTTCATTTTTGCATGTTGTTTTTCGTTTGTACTTAATATGTGTATATTTATTTTCGTTGTTGTTGTTTATTTATTTATTTATTATGCTTAAAATTTTTTTAACCATTTGCCTTGGCGCAGCATGGCCTATACGGCTCTTGTGCCAAAAAACAAAAACCAACCAACCAACCTTGTTATTTATGAAATATTAATAAAATTTTATTTTACTTATATTATTTGGAATATATTTATTTCAGATTTATTATTTTATTTTGAAATCAATATTTACACATCTCGAAGCATTAAAAAATAAACAGTTTCTGATAATGATAACTATGACAGTATAGCCAAATTAGTGAAATCAGCATTGAAAATCCTGTTTCCATGAGAGAGAGAGGGTCAGTTTTATGCCGTGCACTTTCTCCTGATAGAGCATCAGTGTTGGAAAGAATGCTTAATTCACTTTTAATTGTTAAGGAGGGACTAAACATGTATGACCAAAACCCACACCTTGTAACCCACACAAAGGACATGTATGACTCAAAACCCACACAAAGGACAACTGAAATTAGCTCCCTTAGTGCATAGAAATTATTAAGAACAATTGGAAAACAAAAAGAAGTTAAAAGAATAAGAAATGGAAAAAAGAGCACAGAAACATTTTGAAGAACAACAAAAGAAAGCTGTTCGTAACATGAAGATTATGGAACTGCAGCTGAGTTTAAATCAGAAAAATGTAGATGATGAAATATCATACATGTGACAGGCCAAGTTTTGTTAGAAGCAGCAAACAAAAAAACTGGAGAAAGCTATTAACAGCAAGAACACGAATGAAGTACAGTACAAGCAGCACGTGTTATGCTTATTTGTGTTAAGTGTTCAAAAACAAGAGGAAGTGAAAAAGGAATTTGAAAACATCCAGAATAATCTTAATAAAAGAACATCATGTTTCATGACTGATTATTTACAGAAGCCAGACTTTTCAAGCATTCATGGTTTACTGGAAATACAGTAGCCACTTGTTTTTGGGAGACAGAAAAAAAAAAACATGATATACAACTGAGTAATAAAAATTCTGGGCTTTTACTAAACAGATTATACATGCTATGGGATCTATATTCTTTTATCAGCAAGTGTTTCTGTTATAAAATAAGCTTAGTTTTTCAATCATGAATTTTATTTGTGGTTATATTGAATTAATTGACGTTTACGTAAACATTGATACCATGAACGCCCATTTAGCATTATCGTTTCTTTAACAATGACATTGAAAGACAAATACTGTTGATATAAAAACAAAATATCAATTGTGATTTTATTATACAGTACTATATAAATCGCTTATTAGAAATTCGTGTAGTTCATATTTTTCAATAAAAATTGTAAATGCTGTAATTGAAAATTTTAAAAAATAAATATTTAATACATAATAGAACATCAAAACTTATGAAATTACAGAAATTCAGAATTAAAGAAATCTTTTCTTTACATATTATGTGGTGAATTTCAAATTTCACACCTTTATGTGAATTTATATAACTCAATACTGTTAATTCACATAAAGGTGTGAAATTTCAAATTCACAAAAACTTGTAAATGAGGAGACAATACTTAAAAACTAATAAATAAACAATTTTTATTTGAAAAGGAAACAAATGATAATCATCTATCCACCTGTTTTGCATATTTGACAAATTTATTGTTTCATCTTCAGTGGTAGTCTCAAGGACAATAGTAGAAATAAAATACTGTATTTCATTGCAAATAGAAATTCAGTGGCAATTAGTAATTTAAAATTTATTGATTCAAATGCTTTTAAAATTTTGGGAACCAAAAATGCATGATATAACGAGTTGCCACTGTATTACAGTATATACAGAAAGTTTTAAAATGTGTTTAACCATAACAGAATAAAAAGAAAATAACAATTTTTACTGCTATTTTGCTGAGTTTTAACTCTGTTTTCTCACTATTGCACTCACTTTTTCTGTATTTCAACTCACTTTTCTCACTTTTTCAGAGGGGAAATAACACTCCAAGGCCTGTAATACACATCCTTGTCTAACTGCTTTTTCTATCTAACATGGTGCTGTTTCTATGTCGTCCACTTTAACTGTGGCAGTCTGGTCCCAGTTTAGGTTGCTGATCAGTTTGTAGTCATTTGTGTCTAGATTGACTTTCTTTAACGTTTCCATTAAAAGGGGGTGTTGTACTTTGTCAAAAGCTTTTTCATGATCAATGAAGCCAATGTACAAGTTCCTGTGCATTTCTATGGCTCTTTCTGATAAAATTCTCACAGCAAACAGTGTATCAATAGTGCCCATTCCAGTCTAAACCCAAATTGCAATGGTCCTATCTGAGCCTCCATTTTGTTTCTTATTTGGTATCCTATAATTTTTAGTAAGAGCTGTAGGCTATGGCTCATTGTACTTATGGTTCAGAATTGGTCACACTACTTGGCATTGTACTTCTTTGGAATTGGGATTGCTATGTATTGCAGCGCCATCTCTGGCAATTTTTAAATGTATATAGTTGGTAGCACACCTGCGCACCACGTTCAGTTCTGTACCGTTCCTTGTTCAATAAAGACATGCTTGTTACTTGTTCATAAGAATCCATCTCCATCCTTCTTAATCTAATTCCGACGTCTATACATACCAATTCTGGCGATGAGGTGGGTTAAAGATAGTCTATTTCTTTAATTTTATTCAAGAATACTAGCATTTATTTTTTTTCTCGGTGAAGTCAACACGTGGCTACCTTCAACTAGACTTTGAACCTTCAACCTGTAAGTTACCGAATTGCTTATTATCATTGTTTTCTTTCCTTTATTCGAAATGGCAAATGCGATTAACATTAATCCATATAACGTAAATAGTGATTGGGATGAATATGTGGAACAATTGGAAGAATTCTTTATAGCGTCTAATATCACAGATGATAGAAAAATGGTGGCTACTCTTCTTAGTCAAATTGGACCGGTGGCTTGTAAATTGTTAAGAAATTTTTGTCAACCTGATAAACCTTCTTCGAAGACATTTTCTGACTTAAAAAGTATAATGAGATCTCATAAAAATAAATCAGTCAGTATAATTTCCGAGAGAGCGAACTTTACTCGCTGGGTACAGAAAGAAAGAGAATTAATTAATGATTTTATAGTTGGGTTAAAATCGTTAAGCGAAAAGTGTGATTTTGGAGATTCCCTTGCATCACGTTTAAGAGATCGATTCGTGTCGGGCTTGTACGACCCTAGGGTTCATTCAAATCTATTTGTTAAAAATGAGTCAGAATTAGACCTCCAGAAAGCAATCAATTATGCTATTGCTATGGAACAAGCTCTGATTGATGCAGGTCATTTCAATAAATTGCCACTCGAAAACGATTGTTTTAAAATTTTTTCCACAAAGTTCTCTAACAGAAAAAAGGAGTTTAGTGAGAATAGTTCTAGAGATAAAACTAAGTTCGAAACAAAGAAATCTTGTGGAAGCAAAGATCATTCCCATGAGAATTGTAGATTTAGAACATTTACCTGTAATAAATGTGGCATACCTGGTCATATTGCAAGGGTTTGTGGAAAAACTAAACATCCTTATGTGAGCATACACCAACTATCTTGTGCCGATAAAGATTTGAATGATTATTCAGAGATAGATAATTCAACTTATTTCAATCTTTTTAATATTCAAGATGCCTCCACACCAGTTCCACCTATTACATATTCTCACTCTATCTATTAATAAGAAGAACATTAGTTTTGAAGTTGATACTGGCTCCCCACTTTCCATCATTTCTGAATTCACTTTCAACAGAGACTTATCATCCTTTTTAAAAAATTGTATAAATACAAAACGACATATTCACAAAGGTAAAAACCTTGCTTCTGTCTATCTTTACGCCGTTTCTACACCATCAGCAATCCTTAAAAGCAATTCACAAGTTTCCGAGACGACCTTCCTTTTTAGGCTACTGTTTCGGCAAAAAATGTAAATACAGGTAAAGCATCCTCTGGTGTTTATTAGCCATTTTTCACAATATCACATTTTAAGTAAAAATAGTAAAATAATCTATCTTTTTTACCTTTGTGAATATGTCGTTTTGTATTTATACAATTTTTTAAAAATGTAATTAATGCCGGCCATAGTTTATTTTATCATCCTTTTCTTTACATGAGTCTAAACATTTTCTTTGCACATATGGAAATTTCAAGTTGAATGTATTAGGATTTATTATAGTACCAGTTCTTTACAATCGTTCTCGCCATAAACTTCGCCTTTATGTGGTTGGTCATGGTAATGCTAATCTCATTGGAAGAGACTGGATTTGAGAGTTAAAGCTCTCAAATCCAGTCTCTTGTAAAATCAATAGTATTACTCCCAGATTTCACATACAAACTCTAATCTGCTTACTCTATTAGACAAATATTCTTCTGTATTTTCTGAAGGCATCGGATGTTCTAAATCAATATTCCTTCATTTAACCTTAAAACCAGATGCATCCTATTTTTCTGAAACCAAAGACAGTTCCTTTTTCCTCAGGGATAAAATTGAAGCAGAGTTATCTAGGTTAGAAAAGGCTGGAGTAATTTCTAAGATATCCAACAGTGCTTGGTCCACACCTATAATTCCAGTAGTTAAAAATGATGGTAATTTTAAGATAGCTGGACTTTTCAATCTAACCTTGAATAAAATGTTACAAATAGATGTCCATCCAATACCTCGTTTGGAAGAAATCTCTATGAAACTACTTGGAGGTGAGAAGTTCTCTACCTTTGACTTAAGTGATGCCTATAACCAATTCCAATTGGATACGAAAGTAAAAATTTAGTGGTTATCAACACTCATCTTGGATTGTATAAGTTCAATCGTCTTTTATATGGTTTTGCATCTGCCCCTGCTTTATTTCAAAGAGCTATGGAAAAATTATTCTTTACAATTCCGAAAACGCAACCATATTTTGATGACTTGGTTACTTCTGGTACAAATCATTCAGACCATTTGAGTAATATTGAAAGGATCCTATCCATTTGTGAAACAGAAGGAATCAAACTAAACAAACGAAAGTGCAAATTCTTACAAGATTCTGTAAAATTCTTAGGATTTGAGATTTCAAAACAAGGAATTGCTCCTTTATCCTCAAAACTGGATCCTATATTAAAAGCTCATAAGCCTTGTAATGTTCATTCTTTACGCTCATTCCTACGGTATGTTGAACTGTTATTCTAAATTTGTACCTAAACTGTCTACTTTCCTACACCCTCTTTACAAACTCTTACGTAAAGGATGTTCTTGGGTCTGGACAAAAGAACACGAATCTGCTTTTCAAAGTGCAAAAAACTCATTACAGATGCTTCTCAATTTGGTGTCGGTGCTGTTCTTTTCCATATTATTGACAATGTAAAATGTCCTATTTCATTTGCTAATGCTTTATTTTTGCCTGCTCAACATCGATATTCTCAGACAGAGAAAGAGGCACTATATATTATTTTTGGTATTAAGAAATTTAGACAATATCTTCTTGGTTGCCATTTTATCCTAGAAACAGACCATAAGCCCTTACTTGCAATTTTCGGTGATAAAAGAGGACAGAATGAGATTGTAGCTGCTAGAGTACAAAGATGGAGCATCATACTGAATGATTATAATTATACAATTAAGTACATCTCTTCCGCAACTAATATCATAGTTGATGGCCTTTCCAGAAATACTACTAATGATCTATTCATAGAAGATTTTAGTAACTCAATTAAGTTCATTATTTAATTTGCAATTTGACTCCCTTTCTTTTACCAATAGTGCTTTTATACAAGCATTTCGTACAGATAAACTTTTCAATGTTTTGTGTAAGTGCATCAGGAATAATTGGCATCAGATAAATACAGCTGTTAAGCCATTTCTTAAATTCAAGGATTCCCTTTCTCTAGAAGGAAACTTAATATTTATGGGTGATAGAATATTTGTTCCTGAGAAATTTCACAGAAATGTTCTCATTGAATTACATTCTGGACATCAAGGTATTGTTAAATTGAAAATGTTAGCAAGATCAATTGTTTGGTGGCCAGGCATTGATAGTGATCTAGAATGAATAGTGAAAGAATGTATTTTATGTCATTCATACCATTGAAATCCTCCCTCTACTAATACTTTAAGATGGCCAATTCCTGAAGAACCTTGGAGTAGAGTGCATATCGACTTCACTGGACCTTTCCTTGGAAAAATATTTCAAATAGGTATTGATGCAAAAACTAAATATCCTGAAATTCAAATAATGCAATCCACAGATTCTTCCGCTACTATTCTGACACTTAGATCTTGGTTTAGTCGTCATGGCCTTCCTTTACATGTTCACTCTGATAATGGCCCTCAATTCACATCTCGTGAATTCAGAATGTTTTTAGCACAGAACGGAATTTGTCAGACATTCTCTCCGCCGTACCATCCTGCAAATAATGGAGCAGTTGAAGGATTTATCAAAACGTTTAAGTCGTCTTTAAAAAAATTAAATTGTGATAAGGATTTAATGACATCCCTCCTCCAATTCCTTACTTCATATCGTACTACTTCTCACTGTTCCACTGGTAAAACACCTAGTGAGATGCTATTCAACAGAAAACTTCGCTCAAGACTAGATTTGTTTCACCCTTTAACCTTATTGGTGACAACATAGTTTGTCCACAGCGTTCATTTATGATAGGAGACACAATTTTTGCTCGTGACTTTTGTTCTAAAGAATATTGGGTTGCTGGTAAAGTTATTGAAAAACTTTCACCTGTTACATATAACATCGAGCTTCCTAATGGTTCCATATGGAAGCGTCATATTGATTAACTGAGATCTCAATCATCCGCATCCCTCGAATCTCAAGGTGCTTCATTCATTCTTCTTCAGCTGTGGTGTGAAGAAGAAGAAAATAATCCAATAGTTGAAAATATCCCCCAGAAAGACAACATGAAAAATTTATCATCAGATACTGCCTTAGCTTTAGACTCTTCTAATACTCAAGAGTCAAGTCATAGACATTGTAAAACTCCTACATACTTACAAGACTGTGTTTGTAACTTCTCCTTAGGAGGATATGCTATGTATTGCAGCGCCATCTCTGGCTATTCTTAAATGTATATAGTTGGTAGCACGCCTGCGCACCACGTTCTTTGTTCAATAAAGACGTGCTTCTTACTTGTTCATAAGAATCCGTCTCCATCCTTCTTAATCTAATTCCGACAACTATACATACCAGGGATGAAAGTGGATTTTTCAAAGTCACGTGGTACCTGTCCATCTTTGTAGCTTTTATTAAAAAGATCTAGTAATGATAGTTTTGCAGACATGCCCAAGGATTTTAGGCATTCAGCTGGAATATCATCACCAGGAGCTTTTCCACATCTCATGGAGTCCATGGCATGTTCTAATTCTCTTAGCGTAATAGGAGGGGCAGCATCTCCTTCTGTTGTATGAACCTAGGGATGTCTGTTGCGATCTCCAAACAAATCTTTGATGTACTCTGTCCAAGTTTTAGCTATTTCTTCCTTTCCACATTTCTTTTTGTTTTGTTGGTCTATTAAATTTGTTACGCCTTTCTTTGTTTTCTTAAGTTCTTTCATGGTTTTTTTGATGATTCTATGCACTTCTCTGGTATGGTGTTTTTTCTTGTGCTCTGCTATTCTTTCACATTTTTCTTCGAACCACTTTTCTTTAGCTTTGGCGCATTCATGAGTGATCATCCGATGAAGTTTTTTGTATTCTTGAGGGTTTTGGTTCTTAAACTTTCTGTGTTCCTCCATCAGTGTCAAAATGTCCTCAGTGATACAAGGGATCTTCCGCTGTCTTTCCTTTTTGTTAAGTAAGGTACAGGCAGCATTCTTAATTGCACTTTTTATGTTTTCCCAGTGTCTCTCTATAGAGGGTATGTTGTTGTCTTGGATTTCTTTTGCAATCGCCTCACTAAAATGTTGCCTGATCTCGCATATTTTCAGCCTGTCGAGGTTGTAATGTAACTTCTTCTTTTTGACATTTTTTGTAACTTTCTTTAAGTGAATGGCACACTTGGCATAGAGTAAATTATGATCTGTGTAGCAGTCGGCTGAAGGCCTTGTTTTAACATTGTGAATTGAGTTTCTGTATCATTTGTTGATGAGGATGAAGTCTATTTGATTTTGTAATATTCTGTTTTCTATGTTTTGAGGACTTTTCCATGTGTACAGTCTTTGCGGATGTTGTTTGTACCATGTGTTTGTGATACATAGGTCATGGTTCATATAAAATATATAAAAAAACAAACTTGACGAGGACCTATTGTACGTCAAAGGTAGTTCTCCAGGCCACTGATAATGTGTCCATGTCTTTAAAATTAATCACTGTTACCCTGTTAAATGCTTTAAATATCTCCAGTTGTTTGAGATATTTGATATTGGCCAAGTCCTCGCATTGTTGTAGTATTCAGGCATTGTCAAAATCCACCCGGACATTGTTATTGACAGCAAAGCAAGCCAATGCGGTAGTGCAAAGAACTTTCTGAATGGTGTATTTATGCTCCTTGATCTTTATATTTAGATTATGTCCAGTAGCACCAATATATTTACTATGGTCTACTCTATGATCGTAAATAGGGATAGTATAGACTCCTGTGATACTATTTTGGTCCAATTGGTACTTATCATTTCTGATACAAGAGAAAACAGTAGGAGATTTCCTATAAGCAATTCTATTACTTGTAAATCAGGATATTTCTTTGTAGATGTTGGTAAGGATCTTATTGTAAGTAACAGGTAGAAAGGACTCGTCTCTCGATAGTGTTGTTTCTGCTGGATGTTCCTGGCATGCAATCAGAGCATTAATAAGGCATGCAGGGTATCCATGCTGGCTTGCTATGCTTGAAATGTACTCCAGTTCGATTTTTCTATCATCTGTCAGTGAACATTGGGTGTAAGCCCTTCTTACAAGGGCCTTAAAAGCGGAGAAAGGGCAAAAAGAAAAAACCGGCTGGAAGCAGCAACATCACAAAATTCACACATAATAAATGTATATCCCCGGTTATGAAAGAAATTTCAAACTACAAAAACACTAATATTGTATACAAAAGAGCTCCTACCTTATATATGTTGCTCAGAAATGACAAAGAAAAAATTAATTAGAAAGAACAACCAAGAGTGTATGCAATACCGTACAAGAATGATCAATCTATCTATACCACAACTCCTGCTTACCGTGCAGATGTGTTGCCAGTTACGCTATCCGGACCTCCTAAGTCTCATAAGGGAACTCTTCCCCTGCTCCGCCTAATGACACTACAGGGTTAAAGAGACTATGCCTTGTTCATCGACTTGGGTCTGTACCTGACATGGTAGATAGGACGACATAGCTGGGCCCTGGGCCCCTTTCGGGCTCCCGTCCGTACCCCGGCCCAGCTCACTAACTTGGAATAACTTTTGTATTGTGCAGCCTGTTCTGCACTTTTTGGTCCACAAACTAAACCTTTTTCCAGCTCACATACATGCAATAAAACTTGCTAACATAGAGTAACGGACAGCGGGGTCCCCTTCCCTACAAGAAGAGGGGGCCAACCTAGCGCGTCCACTAGGCAGATAGATCATAAGTTTATGATCATTTCCATCAAATCCTTTAGTNTTTTTTTATTTATTGTATTAATTTCGTTATGCTTGTTTACTTAACTTGATTTCACTGTACTGCATGTTCTAATATAATTTAAATTTGAACGTGTTATTCGAAAAGCCATTGATTCGAACGTCTTTAACTTGATGATGGTTCATGGAATGGTTTGAAAACGTTTGTTTAGCTGAATAAATGTGCTTTCTCAGTATTAAGGTGTGTTGACTTTATAAAGTTAATATAATTATTACTTTAGAGAAAATAAAAACAAGTACTTATGACATTGCATAGATGTCTGTCTTAAGTAAATTAGAAAGTTTTAAAAATACCATTGTAAAATTTGATTGGCCAAAAGAGCACAATTAAATTTGAATGTAAATATTAATTGAAAAGTATTGAAAATATAGCAGTTTTTAAATGGATAAAAGAATGATAAAATAATAAATAAAGTAAATTACAAAAAATTTGGAATAAAATGTAATATGAACAGTACTTGTGAATAAAAATGTAATTGTACTCTTTTGGCCAATTGAATTTTACAATGGTATTTTTAAAATGTTCGAATTTACCTGAAGCAGACATTAAAAGTACTTGTTTTTATTATCGCTGAAGTGATAACTCTACTAATGTTAAAGCACTAACTTTCATTATGATAAGAGTATTAATGTTGAAAGACAGTTTTGTTTATTTCATATAGTCTTGGTTGCACAGTACCATATTTCAGTGGGCAACCAAATCAAATGAAACAATGATATTTTGCAATATATGCTCATTGTCAATAGCATATGATAAAAAATGCTTACATATGGTGTCATTGCCTGAATCTACAGCTAAACATATGCACACTATGGAGATAAAGCTGAGCAGCAACCAATTACATTTGAAGCTTACTGCCAGCAGGACTACTGAAGTAGAAGATAAAATAGATCAAGACATTAAACAAAAACCTATTAGGCCATGTAAGCTTACACAACTTGCATCTGCAAAGGACACAGCAGTGGTCTCTGAACTGAGATGGTTATTGAAATGTGTGTTATCTAACTATCCTGCACAATTATGCAATGGAATAGGCAATGAGTTTAAATCCATGTCACAAGAATTTCCTAATGAATTTAGTCTTTTAGAATGGAAATATTTGGGTATCTACTGAATGAAGCATTTGGTCCATACTTTTATAAGATATTGATTGATGACATACAGCAGTCTCATTATACATTATGTTATGATGAAATCAAAAATGCAGAGAACTACAAGAAACTCCAAATATCAAAACTGCTAATGAAGTTGTGTTTAATTATTGTGAAACATGTTTTATTGGACATCAACAAGTGACAGTTTGGCAAAGTATATTATTCAGGCAATTACTAAAGCAGATCTCTCTCTGGAGAAAATGTTGATGCATACCAGTGATGGGTCAAATGTAAACAAGAAAGTATTTCAGCTTATAAACAGTAAAGATATCAAGGACTGGCTTGCATGGGAACTTGCAACTTGCAACCTTCACATTTTGCATGATGCTTTTCTGAAAGGTCTTCAAATATTTGGTTTAGAAGTGATTGATCTTCTCATTGCCATTTATAGTTTATTTGGACTGTCATTTTGTTGGGAGGATTTTACACATTGAAGAAACAAGATATCTCAAAACTCCAGTTCATAAAGCATGTTATGTCATGATGGCTTTTCCTATCATTATCTTTAGTAAGATTTTTGGATCACTGAAAAGCCATAATGCATTATTTCCTGGAATTTGTTCCAAAACAAAAGAAGAGGAAAAGTATGATGAATACAAACAATTACAAGAGAATTGTAAATGCATTTAAGAATTCAATAATCCAAGCAGAAGTGATATTTGTAGTTGACTGTGCAAACATTTTTGAATGCTTTTCAAAAACATTCCAGAAGAAAGAACCTGTGTTACAACTTTATTATGATGAAATCATGTCTCTAACTGCTGCAGTGGTGGGCAGAATTTGCAAACCAGAAGTTGTTTGTCATTTGACTGAGCTTAGTATCAATGATACCAAATTGTTTGATGAGAAAAGTCTGATTGAAAAGGGCATTCTGAAAGTCTGAGTGGAGTCATTCAGGAAAGTCTGATGAGAAAAGGCTTTTGCAAAAATTGAAATTTGAACAAAACATTGAAACCATGCAAAACGAGAACATTGGAATTTAGACAAAATGACATCAGCCTCTGTATCATAGCAGCAAAACATTTGCTTTGGAAATCCATATTAATGTGTGAAAAATTATTGCACATTTGTCTTGCTTCAGTTTGAAAAACTTGCCTGATGAGAGTCATGTGAAAGTATTGTGAAGATGGATTTTTCATTACCAGTGAATGTTTCTGAAAGCTAACTTATTGATGAGTGGAGATTTTTACAACTTAAAAAATGACAGAGTGGTCATATAACAAAAGAATCGACAACTAAGGGAGAAAATTTTTTTCTTAGAAGTGGAAACAATGAAACAAAATATCCAGTTATCCTGCAAGTTGTAAAAGTTACATTAACATTGGCACATGGCAGATGTTGAGAGAGACTTTTTGTCATTGCACAATTTCTGACTCCTGATTGGGCTTCAATGTCTGTAAAGACACTCAATTCTTACTGTATATAAAAAATGGACTAAAAATATTACATAAGTCAGATCTTGGTTCACTTATCAAAAGACTATTCACAGATGCAAGGTTTGCATATTCAAAATATAAGACTGAACTTGAGAAGAAGAAAGCAGAAGTACAAATGCTAAAAGAAAAATAACAAGATGAGCAGAGAAAACAGTTAGAAAAACAGTGTAAGCAGGATGATAAAACAAGGCAGGAGATACAAGACTTAGAGAAGAAATATCAGAAGGCCAGAAAACATGTAAATTAAAAGTGGCAAGTAAAAATTAATAAGTGATGCCAGTGCAAGATGGAAACAAGCATTACGAAAAAAGGACTTAAATTCAAATTGCTCACAACATCCTAGAAGGAGTTCAAGTTGTTAGACAGAAAGCAAAAGAAAGAGAAGCTCAAGCAAGTAACATTCAGAAAAGGCTAGAGAAGTGGCAAGGAGTTCTCATAACATTTTATTTTGAAAAAAGAAATAAAACTGACAATTAATAAAGACTGAAAACTGACGTGTGCAAATGAAGATAACACTAGTGGAAACAAACATTTGAACATGTACAAATGGCACAGATAACTATAAGAAATTACAGTAAAAATAAAAAATTATTGATCCATTGTAGTTGTATATCCTAATTCCTGTCTGTTTTTTTTAAAAGTTTCTCACTTTTTGGTCACAGTTTTCTCATTATTTCTGTTTAAAAATTTACTTTTCTCACTAGTTTCGACTGATTTTTGTCTATTTTCTTGTATTAATTAATAATAATTTGAAATTATTCATAAATTTTAAAAAATCAATGTAATTAAGTTTAATAAAATTTTTTCCAATACAGATGAAGAAATTTTATGAAGAAGAAAAATACAAAAAATATTTGCAACAGTTAGCTGAAGCAGAAATGAGACGGCACAGTGATTTTTTTACGTGAGTACTAAAATTTTAAGAGCTTTTTATCCTGAGATAAAAAATGATTAAATATAAACTATCTGACCAATATTTGGATATTGGACACAAAGATACTGGTTAGAACTATAATCAGAGTTACATAACATGCCAAAAACCTAGCAAAATCAAAAATCCTTCACTTAAACAAATATGTTCATTCATATAGTCACACTTCAGGTTAAGAATATCTGTTTACAAAGAATTCAGTTTATGAACAAAATTTTGAACACCACATTTTCTTTGGTTGCCATATGATAACTTTGTTTTCAAACAAGCTACTCGGCAGAGCCAGCCACCAATGTTCAACTTCTTATACTTCCATTGTTAAAGAAAGTTAAAGAATCAACCAATCAATCACAGGACTACTGATTCAGTAGTGGCACCAAAATTCACCTCATATCATTAGATGCCACAACACAAACCATTGATGATGGTGTGAGTCAAATTTCAATGTGCATGTGGGTAAGATACTACTTTCAGTTTTTGGTATGCATCACAATTCAATTTGAATCAAATTAATTAATAAAAACCGTGTTAATTGACATTCAATAGTTCATATTTAAAAGTGCTTAACTCAAATTAAATAACAAAATTTTATTAATTTTATTACTAATATAAAAGTAGTTGTCTCTCTCTCTCTCTCTCTTTGTGTGTGCATGTGCATGCACTCACATCTTTTGTCCAGTTCATATGAAATTTTGGTTATATTTGTTTTATGTTTTGATGAAAGGTATAGGCTACTTATTTTGAGGAAATATTAGCTATAGAATAAACGTTTTATTGAATGATTGCACTTACATTACAGTGATATCAATTACCACGTAATGTTCATACTTGACAAGGAAGTTTCCCTTAAGTTGTATTTTTACATATTTTGGCAAATGGCATGTTTTAGACTGACTTCATTAAATTTAAACTTTAAAAAACAATATCTGCATCATGTACTTCTGTAACAAATTTATAAAAAATAAGTTTTCATAGTGATTACATGACATTTTATTATCCATTCAGAAGTAACGATCTAATGAGCCTGTTATTTAGAAAGTGTTATCGCTAATCTAACATACATACAATTTATCTTTGTTTTATCAATGCCATTTTGTCTAAAAGATGCAAAAGATTGGCTATTTTGTCAAAAAGAAAAATGCCTAGGGGAAAGCGTAAGACTAAAATTGGTCAAGTAAATTCTAGATCTAACAGAATAAGAACAACTGAGACCCCTGAAGGCTGTGAAGTGTGACTTCAGCAACATTCAGTGAGAATGGCTTTGTTGAGGGCTGCAGAAACAGCATCACAATGTCAAGCTGAACTCAAAGCTCTTCTCAATTCTTCAATCTCTACTTGTCATAAAAAATATTCTGTCATGCTTGACATGATAATTTCTAATATTATATATTACTAGCTTACCCATCACGCATTGCTGCAATCTCAGAAGAAAGGAAATTCAAGCAAACTCGTTATGATAAAATTCAATTTACATTTTATCATTTTTATTGAAACTTATTATTATATTATTATTATTCATTTTCATCAGGAAAACATTTCAACGTGTTGTTTCAATTTTATTTATTTATTGGAGCGCTTGTGGATACACGATATTTTTTGTTTTTTGTCTGGTGCGTACACGAATAAATCAGAAGGTTTTCCAACACCTGAGCCGGCCACATAAAGTTGTCCATGCAAGAAGCATGGATTCTCCAAATTTAGCCCACACACTTGCAGTGATTGTCAGAAGTGCAATATTCCCCATTTTTATATATATTTTTAAATCCTTTATAATTTTAATTATTTAATTGCTCCTTCCTCTCTTCCTTGGCATGTTGTGNTTTAGATAGTGGAAATAATAATTTTTGTAAATTTTTCTGAAAATTACAAATGCATTTCATTTACTTTTTGAAGCATACATAGACTATGCAATAGATTATGTGCAGGTATTTTAATTTTTCACAAGTAGATAATAAAAATAATGCAGTCTGATTTTATTTTAATAACAATAGTAAATTTGGTATGTAAATAATACTTTTAAATAAATAAATAATTTCCATTTTATAAATAGTTGTTTACCACTTTTTGAATCAAAGAAGAAAACTTTATGATGATTTATGACTTCAAATGTATGAAAAATTTATAAATGTATAATTATAAATTTTGCATATAATTACTGCATTTGCTGTAACTCAATAGCAATTAATAAAAATGATATTTGATGATTTATTTTTGATACATTCAGTCAATTGATACTTATTCTAAGAAAACAGATTTTTGTGATTAAATACAAGTGATTTTATCCTGTAAATAAGAATATATATAATACTAGCAGATGAGCCTGATGTTGATTGAGTAAAAAATAATGATAGTGAAGATTAAGATTATTAGATTATAGCCGATCTAATGCAAGAATTAGGTCCTTCTATTCCGAGGCTAATTAGAGACTTTATAGATGAGTCTAAAAATATGTTTGATTTCTTGCAAAAATACTGCATCTAAAATACTACAGTAGAAGCCAAGTTCTTCAGGGTAATCCTTAACCCTATCTCTCTCTTGCAGGGGAGAATTTCCAAAAATCCCTTCTTAGTGTGCATTTGCATGGCTTACCCTAACTGTTTACCAAATTGCAACATTCAACTCGTAATTGTTTGGGGTCTGCTCATATTATTATTATTATTAACTTGTCTCGATTATATTGCATTTGTAGGTATTTTTATGCATGAAATACAAATACAGCTAAAAAAAAGTAAAAAAAGTTTTGTGTTGGAGTTGGGAATGGATTAATTCATTTTACATTGTTTTTTATGGGAAAATTTTGTTTTGGTTTGAGATCAAATTGGTTTCTGAACAATTAAGTTTGAAGAAATGAATTACCATATATTTCCACAGATAAGACGATAGTTTAATCATAAAAAAAGGCCCCTTAAATCCTGGGTCATCTTATAGGACAGATACAAAAAAAAATTAGAGTAGAAATTTATATAAATTAAAACCATTATAAAAAACAGACAAACTGTAATTATTTACTAGTAGAGAGTAGATTATGTCCACAAAATAAAATAGCCCATACGATGTTTTTGTGAATAGTCAAGGTCATTACCCGAATGCCGGAATCAGTGTGAATGTTTCAACAATCGTAAGGCAGTGCTTCCAGATGTAAGAAAATAAAGTTTGTTCATTCTAAAAATTACAAATAGGACATAATTCCGTATACACTATGCAGTATTATTATCCAGATGATGATTGCTGATCTAAACTAAATTCATAGGCTGTTGATAGTTTGGGGGTCATTTTATAGGACAGATATATGCTAAAACTATAAAACTATGACGAAAATTTATACCATGTCTTATCTGAAGGTCGTCTTATCTGCAGAAATATACGATAAGTTTGTAAACTGAGTTTCAACTGCATGGTAAACATCATCAGGTTTGATTAAAATATTTTAAATTAAAATGTTCTGTTTTAGCTTTTATCTAAATATTATAATTCTATATTATTTTAATTGAATCTTGTGATGTCCAGTGTGTATAGATGAAAACATTTTAATATAACTTTTGATGTTTGTATAGTGAATTAATTTATAAAAGTAGGAGAACTAAAACAGTTCTGTACATAATAAACATAGCATATTTATTAATTATCAAAATTATCAATATGGCATTAATGTCATTTTTTGTATTATCGTATGCACATGGCAGATGAATATTCTGAAGGTCATTAAAGTAATTCAGAATTTCCTTCTTAGACCTCGCTTCGACAGCAGTAAGGAAAATGCATTCAATGGCTGAAAACTTTGTGGGGCCATCTTATTCTAATGACTGTGAGGTTGTCGAATGTAATCTGAACCCATACTGCTAAGGTAATTTTCAGACATTTTGGCATAACAAAAAATGTTCTAAAATACTGATGTCCTTTATTTCATCCTGAACTACCTCACAGACATGGAAAGATTAGCCACTTGACTAACCCTGATAATAGTGCCTCAGTCTCTTGGCACCATTGGTGCTGAACTGTTTCAGCTTTTTTTTTCAATGTGAGTGAAATTTCTGTCACATATCAGAAATCTGTTCCCTGTAGATAGAATTTTTTGTCTAATACATAAGTGCAAAACCTTTGTTTTAAGAGGTAAAGCATCATCTCAACCATCACTCAGTTATCGTTTTGTCCAACACAATGGTACCATGATAGATAAATTTTCTTAGTTCAAAATCATAAGTTTGATGTATTTGGATATAGTAAAATTCATAATAAAAGAAGCTATTTATGTTGAATGTTTTTTACCTATAGATTATTGCACAGGTATAATACATAGTTCTGTTTCCTGTGATAAGCTGATTGACACAAAAATTATAACACAAGTACTGCTGAAGGGAAAACCTGTGGCATAAATAGGACTTTTTCATAACTATGCACAAAATTATAACTTTTTCATTTTGTTTTTCAAGTTTTCTTCAGTGCTTGTAACTCTGTTCAGCTTTGACATGGTGTTTTTCACTTTCTTTTCTTATTTATTACTTTGTCTTGTTCAGAGTTGGCTGCTTTGAAGTTCATAAAAAGTTCATCACATTTGCTATGTGTCAGACTGAGGCTGACCAAACTTAGACTAAATTCAGAGTAAAAAATGTGTCTGTAAAACTAGTACTTTGGTACTAAATAGTACCAAATATAGTTATTGTATCTAATAAAATTTTATATCAAACAAATTAATCTACAAAATTTTATATGAAATAAATTAAATACTTTAATCTGGGTTCTCAATCTTAATTTAGCATGCATTCTCCAGAGTGTCAGGTCAGGAGTCAAAGTAGAACCAATCTGTAACACTTATCATGAGTGTAGCAATTTCAAGCTTTGGGAAATCCTGTACTTTATCTTTTATGGCATGAGGTCTATATGAATGTATACCCCTTTTTTTTATTCAGATCAGCACCAGAATTTAACTTTTGTTGTAAAAATTACAGAAAATAAATCACACAATTTTTGGCAAA